GGGTGCATCAAGCACAGCATAGCTAGCTGGTCAAGGGAGGTGACTGTCCCACTCTACAATGCTCTGGTGCGGCCCCACCTCAAGTACTGTGTGCAGTTTTGGGCACCTCAATATAAGAAGGACATCAAACTATTAGAGTGTGTCCAGAGAAGGGTGACCAAGATGGTCAAAGGTCTCGAGGGCAAGACTTACACAGAGTGGCTAAGGTCACTTGGTTTGTTCAGCTTGGAGAAGAGAAGGCTGAGGGGCGAGCTTATCGCAGTCTCCAACTTCCCCAAGGGGGGCAGTGGAGGGGGAGGTGCTGATCTCCTCTCTCTGGTGACCAGCGGACAGGACACAAGGAAATGGGATAAAACTGTGCCAGGGGAAGTTCAGATTGGACATTAGGAAAAGGTTCTTCACTGAGACGGTGATCGGTCGCTGGAACAGGCTCCCTAGGGAAGTGGTCACAGCACCAAGCCTGTCAGAGTTCAAGGAATGTCTGGATGATGCTCTTAGTCATATGGTTTATTTTTAGGTAGTCCTGTGAGGAGCAGGGAGTTGGACTCAATGATCCTTATGGGTTCCTTTCAACTTGAGATATTCTATGATTCTATGATTTCCTTTGCAGAGCAGCACAAAGAAGTAGGAGACAAGCATGATCATCCTAACAGTGACTGCCAGTTTTCCAACAAGGTAAGATTAGCGCTGTAGTTACATACAAATGTATTTTAAATATCTCAAGACATAAACAACCAGAAAAAATATACTGCACGCCAAGAATCATTGTGTTCATACAAGTAAACCTGCTTAACCCAGAAAGACTGATGGCAACTTCCAGTATGGAGCAACCAGGTCTACCATCAGGACTGCAGAAAGTTTTGAGCATCATACCAGTCACAAGAGATCATCTACCAAACATTAATGACATCCACATTAACTGTGAATGGACCGATTATAATTTTTCTAAACAGAAAAACATACCCATCCCACTTCAGAGTCACTCAGGTGGTACATGGACATACTTATGATCTTTTGTTTACCTGCCTTCCAAGTAATGGAAGCACTTCTTTGATCACAGTCTGCGTAGTGCTATCCTTATTTACTCGTAGAGAAACATATGCCATTCCCACTCTAAAGAGAAAAGAAATACTTATTTTAGGACAATCATTTGATCTATCCTGTGTGTACCCTTCTTACCTAAGTGGCAAATTTTCTATGGGGGTAGGCTGAAATTTGTATTAGTTGAAGAAAGTTGTTCACTGAGGCTCATGGCAGATGCAGTATTAGCCCCACAGACAAGCAAAGACTTTCATCTCAAGGAACTGGTCATCACAATTGTAGCACTGCAGATTGGCTTCTTCCTATACACAAAACTACCTGCAAGTCTTTCATAAAATTTGGCAATATAGTTGCATGAGTAAAATGAACAAATGTTTAAATTTTATCCCACTGCTCTTAAGAAATGAACAGGTCACCAGCCAGTCTTGTTTCCACTGCTAAATATGCTTAAAATGTGTATTGTCTCACTGGTAAATGGAACAGAATTTTTTTCCTTTTTTTCCCCTCCTATTCTCACATCAGAAGTTACACTGAATTCTTCCTACTTAATATTTCTTCAAAAAAAACCACCAAGCTTTCAAGTGACATGTGTATGTCATCATTTGTTTACAGATGCAGTTAATGTAAAGTTGCACCTTCTTGGCCAAACGCACAATAATAGAACTGCACAAGTCGCACAGTATGTTCCATGCATGTAAAGAAACCCACAAGCACGTTTCCAGGCATGGAAATGAATAATATGTATATTACTCATTCAGAAAAATAAACAGAAGAATCCTGAAATACAGAAGAAGAAACTACATTCTCTGTTACACTTGTGCAACTTCAATAAATGAAACACACTGGGCTAGACTACAGAGGGAGGACAAATATAGCCAAGCAGGATAACCTGGTGATAAAGGAGAAAAACACTCACTTCAGCCAGGCAGGATAAATTCTGATCACTTCCTCGTCCTTTGGTTTGGCTCTGATGATCCAAGCTTCAGGAACGGATTCTCGGAATATTGAGCCCAAGTTGCTGTCCTCTGCAGCATCGTTCCTGTTGATAACATCATCAGACAGCAGCGCCTGCTGTGTAAAGGTCTGAAGCTCATACTCCTGCTGGTCATCAATTATGTAGTATGCCCTCAAAGCAGCCTCCTACAACACAGCAAGATAAATTAACATTTTCTTGAAAAGACACAGTTAATACCTGTATAGCCAGACACCGTTAATAACTGTATAGTCATAGACATTTATAAACACCTTACTTATGGAACCAACCTTTAATGAGTGTTTTAAGTGCAGAACAGTGGATAAACAGCAATGGCAAAAAAAACAAAACAAGGGTGAAGTTTTGAAAACAAGTTTTAGTAGAAAATACAAAAAGAAAACTTGAGATATCGATGGACTTGAACACAGCCCACAGTATTTCTGTCAAGTTATAGTCATTTTAACTCCATATATCAAACGTAAAAATTCAGTACCAATAAAGCTACACTCACTGCATGCAAAATTTACGCCACAAGAAAAATGGTAAACTACACTTGATTGTGCCCAGCTCTGCATATTCAATCTTTTTACACTAAGGGGATGCTGAAAATCAGTGAGCTTCTCAGCCACAAGACTGCCCTGAACCCACACACCTATGAAGAGGAAAGGTAAAGGCTGTCCTTGAAAGATGCAAGCAGTCACAGAATTCTACATCCATTACGGGCCCACGCCTGCAGCACCTCTGCTAACACAGACACTGCAGTGAATACAGCCCAGTAAGTCACTTATGAGAACTGATATTAATCTGCTCTGGTATAATAAGCAGTAGCCTTATAAAATGTGCTTGAAAGGCAAGTAGCACTCCTAAATAAAAGTGTTTTCAGCACTGTACACAATTTTCCTTGAATATCTTTGACATGCAGAACATTATAAACCATTTTCAAAACTCCTGTTGATTTTGAGCACAATATCAGGATAAAAATGTTAATGAGCGGTAGGTTTAAATTGTCAAAATTCTGATGTAATAAGTTCTCCAGACTCCTGTGCCAAGTCCTTTATGACTTTAGTCCCCACCATGCTCAATTCTACGGTGCACCACCCCATATTCCTTCTGGGCTTCATTTCTGCACAGCACGGGGTCTCTGCCCAGCCCAGTAAATTAAGATCTGTGCAGAACATTTGATTTAGTACTGAGTCAAGTTTCCACTCCAGATGGAGCACTGGAAAAGCTAGGGAGTGGCCACTATGTGGTTGATAATTCATTACTTTCACAGCCAAGGAGTGGAGGTAACTATGGCATGCTTCAGTCTTCAAAGCTGATTAATTGAAGTGCAACAGTGGTGGCTGTCCAGGATAACCGTCAAACCACTAAATGCTATAGTAGAGGAGCAAGATCTAAGGAGCTCATTATCCAGTATTGCTCACATCAGTAAAATCAGACTTCAGTGTCACACAGGGAAGGAGAACGACTGCTTAACATGTGATATGCAGTGGTCCCCATTATGCTATAGATATGCAGGCCACCACTTCTTCAGATGCTCTAAAATAAGAGCACTACGTGAAGAAGTCAAATTACATTGTAATATTTTAGCTCATTTACAGATTTTGTTGCTGTTGAGTTACATTTGTAAAACTGTTAGCTTTTGACTATTGTAATATACATTCATATGCCCCTTTATCACACTGGAATATTGACCTTCACCAGATATCTTACCACAACTTCTTCATTTTTTGCAATCCTTGGAACTGAAATCAGTCGAAATTGATTGCGTTTCACTGCATCATTCCCATCAAATATCTTTAATGTTTGTTTACCTGAATGGAAACAATTATTGTATTTCAATAACACACCCCTCAAATCATAAAGCTACCTGAATAGGAAGCGTATAATGGAACTATTAAAAACCTGCTTTTAACTCACTGAACTGTTTCTTCATCACAAGCTTTGATGCTGAATCTTTTCATTTTTGTTTTGTTACTATTCATTTAAAATGGGTACATTCGTGGAGGAAAGCGTGAAAAGTATTTCAAGTAATCATAGTTTTATCCTGGCTTTTGATATAACTGTTTATATATAACTATACTGCTTATGTTATCACTTCTTCATCCTCACCATTCAAGACTGCATTTATTATTGGGGAGTTCAACAGATTGAAAACCAAGACAGAGTGCCATCACCTTCAGAACAGCTCCCAAAGCACTGCCGGTTCTGAGAGCATCCTTCCAAAGAAAGTCCTTAAAATAGCTGGTTAACTGTACAGACGACAGGAGAAAATACTGGAACAGTAGGAAAGCTAGAAGAAAGAAGGTAGAGCAAATGAAGAACTACAACTCTTTGCTGTGTTTCATTTCACTAAAGCCTTATCAAATCCGTGCTCAAACCATGGAGCACAGGTTGTTGCACAGACAGCTCTGAAAGGGTGAAGAGTTAAGGATTTCAGGTTCACCTTTCACAAAGAGGAGTTAAGACTCGGTTTGGTACAGCCCACTGTATGACAAAGTTTCCCTCTTCTTTAAGTGACTATTTTAAAAGCAAGGTTGCAGGAGGCACACAAGGAGGAACAAGGAGCTCCTGACTTAACTCTGCCGTTAAAAGCATGCGCACAAGAGGCAGAAGCAGAGTTGGGTGAGGTGGAAGGCATATAGAGACACTGTCCAAACATGCAGGGATGGGCTGAGGAAAGCTAAAGCCCATATGGAGCAGATGCTGGCAAGGGACACGAAGGGCAACAAGAAAGGTTTCTACAGGCACGTCATCAGCAAAAGGATGACTAGGGAAAATGTGGGTCTGCTGGGGAATGTCAATGGGGACCCGGACTTAAAGGACATGGAGAAGGCTGAGGCACCGATTGCCTTCTTTGCCTCGGTCTTTACTAGTAAGACCAGCCATCAGCAATCCCAAGGCTCCTGAGACCAGTGGGAAAGTGTGGGGCAAGGAAGACTCGCCCTCAGTGGGGGCGTTTTAAGAAACTGGACATGCACAAGTCCATGGGTCTATTGCAGTGCACCCATGGGTGCTGAGGGAGCTGGCTGATGTTGTTGCAAGACCACTCTCGATTATCTTGGAAAGGTCATGGTGGTTTGTGGGAGGTTCCTGAGGACTGGAAGAAAGCAAGTATCACCTGTACCTTCAGGAAGGGTGGGAAGGAAGATCGGAGGAACCACAGGCTGATCAGCCTGACCTCGATCTCTGGGAAGGTGATTGAGCAACTAATCCTGGAAACCATTTTTAAACATATTAAGGAGTGGAAGTAGTCAGCACAGACCTATCAATGGAAATCATGCTTAACCAACGTGGTAGCTTTCTATGATGAGAGAGCTGGCTGGGTGGATAAGGGAAGAGCATTGGATGTTGTTTTTGTTTACTTTAGTAAGGCTTTTGACAACTGTCTCCCTTAACAGCCTTATAGACAAATGAAGTACGACTAGGTAAGTGGAGAGAGAGGTGGACTGAAAACTGGCTATACTGCTGCATTCAAAGGGTTGTTTACAGAAGAATGAAGTCCAGCTGTAGGACAGTCACCAGTGGAGTACTCTTGCAAGTTAATACTGGGGCAAATATTGTTTAGCCTCTTCACTGATGACCTAGTTGATGGGACAGAGTACATCCTCAGCACATTTGCAGAGGACACAAGACTGGGAGGAGTGCTTGAGAGGCCAGATGGGCATGCTGCCATTCAGAGGGACCTTGACAGGCTGGACAAATGGGCCACCAGGAACCTCATAAAGTTCAACACAGTGAAATGCCAAGCCCTGCACCTGGACAGGAATAACGCAGGCAGGGATCCGACTGGCTGGAAAGCACCTTAGCAGAGATACCCTGGGAGTCATGGTGGACACCAAGCTTACCATAAGCCAGCAACATGCCCTTACAGCAAAGATAGCCAACAGTATCCTGGGCTACATTAGTAACAGCATTGCCAGTAGGCTGATAGAGATAATTATTTCCCCTCTACTAAGCCTTGCTGAGACCTCATTGGGAGAGTTGTGCCCAGTCCTGGGCTCTTCAGTACAAGACAGACATGGATGTACTGGAGCAAATGCAGGGAGGGCCCATGAAGACGATGGTGGGACTGGAGTTATCTCTCATATGAAGAAAGGCTGAGAGAGCTGGGAGTGTTCATGCTGGAGAATGAAGGATCGTGGGGGCAGGGGGGATGTTTTATGCACGTGTATAAGTAATTAATAGGAGGCTGTAAAGGTGAACAGACAAGAGGCAATGGGCACAAATTGAAACACAAGAAATTACATTTAAACCTAAGAAAAAAAAACTTTTCTACTGTGAGACTGGAAGAGTTTGTCCAGGGAGGGCTTTGAGGTCTCCATCCTCAGAGATAGTCAAAACCCGACTGGACATGACCCTGAACAAACTGCTCTGATTGACCCTGCTTGAGCACGGGGTTGGCCTAGATAATCTCCATACTGCCCCCAACCCCAGCCATGCTGTGACTCTGTGAAGGGAAGCCTGTACAAGGGAGGGAGGGAGGGAGGGAGGGAGACAGAATAAGTAAGATCATAGAATAGTTTGGGTTGGAAGGGACCTTCAAAGATCATCTAGTCCAAACACCCTGCCATGGACATGAACATCTTTCACTAAATAGGATTGCTCAAAGCCCTGTCCAACCTGGCCTTGAACACTTCCAGTGATAGGGCATCCACAACTTCTCTGGGCAACCTGTTCCAGTGTCTCACCACTCTCATCATAAAAAATTTCTTTCTTATGTCCAACCTAAATCTACCATCTTTCAGTTTAAAACGGTTGCCCCTGGTCCTGTCACTACAGGCCGTGGTAAAAAGTCTCTCTACATCTTTATTATACGCCCCTACTTTTCAAATATGAAAAGTAGTATTACCAGGTGGATTTGGCTTTTCAGTTTTCCAATTATCAACTTAGTGGTCATGTCTGTTGTCTTTTTTTTTTTTTTAGTCACAATATAAGTAACATTTAAATATCATCAACTCTCACTTCTAAAGTATCCTCGAAACTCTATTGCCATTGCATTGAGACTATAGCACACGTCAGAAAGTGATCCACTGCTTTAAACCCTGGATTAAACATGAGAAAAAGTGAAATTCTTTTAGAAACAGATTTCTGTCAGAGTGATCTCCATGATGACTTTACCACAGACAAATTTTAACCAAAAGACACACTGTGTCCTGGGTGACCTTCTTTAGGGCTAACACAACTTGAGAAAACACAGCAAACGCTGGTTACTGACTGGACAGCCAATGTTCTGAGTATGAACTTTCACAACATTATCAAAATCTCCACTGTTTTCTCTAGCAATCCAGAGGGTAGACAACCATCTGAGAATAAAAACATTCATCCAAGTTTTTGTACTTGTTTTCATTCGAACTGCCTTTGTAGTCTGCTCTGTTAGATACTAGCTGGCCTGAAAGAATCCCTAGCAATTTTAACTGGACATTTTTTTATGATCTCTCCACTTCTAAGACCAGCCAAATGCTGCAAAAAGTTGGCTTCATTCTTAAAATAAACTGGTTTCAAGGAGGAGTTTAGATCTACAGACCAGTAGTAATGTCCTATGCTCAAGTAAGTTCCTTAGCTAAATATACAGTATGCTCAGCCCTGCTTTCCTTATGGTAATCTGGCTATCCATCATACAAAACAAGCTCAATTTATCAGTGAAAAGTCATGTTTAACTTTGTCACTGTCCTCCTCACAGGGTTCACTTTTACTGCAACCTGATGAAAGATGGCTTTCGTGCACATGAGCTTCTGGGGACACATTAACAAAAGAACAAACAGCTACTTACTTGACCACAACTAGTCATCCAGAAAAACACCTCCCAACTAATTTAAGTGTACATCCACAACATGAAAGTTAAGGGGTGTCCTATGCCAGTCTGATTTGCCTAACTAGCCTTGGAAAGAAGCTTGACTATAATCACTTTTAAAGTTAGATAAAGCTCTTTCTCCCTCCTGTTCCAGTTTTTAAATATTAGAAAATGATCCAGTTATAGAAGTGAAGTCTACACACCACTATTTAGTATAAAAAAATCTTGCTAACATGGAACAGATGCACATAACAAATTTTGGTATTTAAAGGAGTTACTACCTGTTTTATAATATTGACACTTCACTGCCGAATGTCTTTTATTTTTTCCTGTTGAATCAGACTACACAGTATCAGGACTTTCTCCTGAAAAATATATTACTTTTTTTCTTATCATGGGATACTGAGTTGAAAAAAAACTGTTCTTCATGCTTATGCTTTTCAAGAGGAAAACAACTACAAAAAGGTCAACTCCAGGCATAATTTACCACACTGGAGTTTGACTTCGGAGGCTAAGATACCAGGTTTTCCTGGGAGAAGGATAAACAGCATTTGATGAATCCAAAGTTCATGTCCTTTGACTTCCAAATCCCCACAGACAGGACATAGCTTCTGAAAAGACTTATGTGCGGCTTGTGGCAGAGATAGGAAAATGATATAGTCCTGAATGTTTTTGCCACTGAAGAAAGCTAGAGGCCTACACCAAACATATTGGTGGAATTTACTCTTAAAATTACTAAATTCTAGCAACACTGCTTACCAAAAACCATTCTTCCCACCAAAACTTGTGCTATCCACATACTTTCTGCTCTCCTTCTCTAGTCACTGCCTCTTCAAATTACAACAGTGTGGACTAGCAAATTTTGGTTTATTTCAGTATTACCTTTCACAACCTACAAGGCAGCAATAAAGCACATTAAGAACTGTGTATTTTTTCTTGTATTGGTCTTGAAGAGGGTCTTTCAGAATCCCATATTCTTCCTTTCTCTAGCTGTTCCTCTTCCAGGAGAGTCATTTGCAGATGTGTCACTTCTCTGAACTTGTTTTCATGAGCAGCTCAAATCCCCCTAGTTCTAAGACAGTTTTAAAGCACAAGGCTGTGTTAATAGCCATCCTCCCATACTGATAGCCACCTCTTCACCCTTCTCCTCCAGGGTGGTTTTTAGAACTTCTCCAAGCATCTGCCGTATGTATCACCACTACCAACTGGTATGAGACATTAAGGATGAGGGGGGAAGAGATTCAAGGAACAAGAGAGGGACAGGCAGACTGAAAGGGAATGACGCCAAAGGGGCAGCAACACTGGGGAGTAAATGTTGTGCTTGGGGAAGGAGAACTGAGAGAGACAAGTTGGGGAAGAGCACAAAACACAACCTGGTGAGAAGTGAGAACAATAGTGGGCAATATCAAGTGTCAGAAAAGGCAGATGAAGGGGGTTGAGGTAAGAGAGGAAAGGAAGATATGCACAATGGGGAAAGGAAGCAAAAGAAAAGTAACGTGATTTTTCAGAATTTTTTCATTTTTTCTTTTCCTACTAGGTTACAGGCAATTCAGCCAAGAAAAGGAAATACACAACCTCTTCCAGCACCTAAGCCACTAGTTCATTCAACACAGTTGAGCATAATCCTCTTTTTCAAAATATCTTCAAATGCAGGTGAAGCAAACTGTCTTGGGGGAAAAAAATGTTTTCAGCGTTACACCAGGTACAGCAATTCAACTTGTAAATGACTATCTCTTGAAGTACCACTGAACAGAAGCTTTTGTGAGGGAAGAAGCTGAGGACATGGAGAAGCAACATCCCTCAACCACTATCTATGATGGATAAGATTTAAATCTTCTAACTTTACACTTCACTCAACAAGCCTACTACGATAGCAAAGAAACAAAAGGGAATGCAGACCACTAATTCAAATTTTCTTCCAGTATTAATCTACAGACTTTGCATCCTTTCCTATTGGCTTCTTTCCTATGGAAAAGCATGTATTTACAAGTCAATATTATTCAATTTCTTCTGACTTGTTTTCACGGTTTTTAAAAATATGCATCTGTAAAATGTGGAGAGCTGGCATTAAGAAAAGCTACAATATTCTGGAATATAATTCAGCTCAGACACTCCTGAGGGAGAGCACGGTAACATCCCAAAAGATGTGGCAGATGTACTGAGTCAGCACACAGAAGCTAATGAGCAGCTCGCTCTTGACCCATATTACACAAATGGTATTATCTAGAGACAGGTGGAAGAGGTCTAGCACGCTATAACCGTGCCCTTCTCATGTTTAATTTGATAGGTCATGACTCCCCACACAGAGAGAGGCACAGAAGCACAATGGCTGGCAGATGAATCCCAATAACTTTGTCAGAGAAGTTATCAAAGAAGCCATGTCCTGCCCTGATGCAAGGCATCAGCCCCACGGGCTGGGGGTGGCACGCACCAGGTGAGTCTGCAGGAGAAGCTCTGTGGGTCACCTCACCAACTGAGGAGGTCACTCAGGGTGTGGGGCTCTATAAGATGCATGGGAAGAGCATTCTGGGATTGTACAAGAGTTGTTAGGGGACGTTTAGGGGAGGAACCAAAGGCAGGGGAAAGGAGGGATCAAGGCGGTTTGGGGAGGAACAAGTGTGTGAAAATAGAGGCATAAGGAGATAAAAGGAGCTGGTTGCATGTAAAGAGGTTGCTGGTTGGTGCGCCGGCCTGGCCATGCCCTGCACCTGATCAATACAGTCTGTCCTGTCTTCTCATTAAACGCTATTTCTAACTCTTTTTGTGGGTGTGGTTTCCACTATTCTGCATGCATGTGTGCATATGGGCTCCTGCAACTGAAGCAGGGCTGCAGGTCACTGTGACCCATGTGTCCATGGTGCCAGCAACCAGAGTGATAGCTGTTTTGTGAGCACCAGCAAACATCAGGCTGGGCTCACTGGCACACAAGGTAAGTGGCCTGGGAGCCACGTATGCGTGCATCTCTGAGTGAGGCACCTGGCAGAGAAGACTACTGGAGGGGCCAGGAGGTCCAGGATGACTCCTAGATAGACTGTGGGGGCTGGCGGTCCACCGAGGGACCTAGGCGGGGAGGGTGTGTGTGTGCATATACATATATATATGCATACATACACAGCCACACATGCATGTACATATATACATATATATGTATCAGAATACACACACGTATACACACAGACATTCCCACTAACAGACCTTCATCCTGCTCAGCCACAGAGGGGACAGGATGCTGCAGCAGCTTCACCTGTACGGGGGTACCAGATTTGGAGACCCTTAACATCATTAAACTAAAGCTTTCAAACATTTCCTCTTTTTTTTTGTGAAAGCTTTGTTTTTAAAGAGACATTAGAATCAATCCCTACATATTGAGCTTTCTAAATCACAGCAAAGTTACTGGGCTTTACATTGACTTCTATTTTGTGCAAATGTATTAAGAGGAAGCAATTTGTTTTAATGCCACTGTTCTTTTTAAAACACAAGTAGCAATTCTTTACATGAGCCTTGAAAATGTACCATCTACTGCTGCTTTCTCCAGTCCACAGACAGACACTGTATAGGAACAAAAGACATATTAAAGTTTGTATCCTGCCCCCAATTTTCCTATCTTTTTTCCTTCTTTTGGGAAGGCTGTCTAAAGCTGAACTGTTCTGTACTAGTACTTTTAACCAATCCAGTTGAAATATCTGGATACGTAATTTGCTCTCTTTGACAGTCATGAGTAAGGGAAATAGCCTTAGTTGGTAAAGTATAAAAGTCCTGACACTCAACCACTTACGTCACTTAAAACACTGGAAAAAGTGAAAGTTTCTTAGATAAAAGAAGTTAGTCAGAGCCTGGTCACATAATAAGGGAGCATGGTGGTAGATCATAACTTCCAGTCATTCAGGGACACTATCTTCAAATTTTAAGAAGTGAAATAAGAGCATGCTTGAGATCACTTCCATAACTGAGTTAATTATTTACTGAGCTGGATTTTTTAAAAATCCAGAAAGCATTTGCACAATTATCCTATTAATTTTTTAAGAATTTTAGGCTAAAAAAAAGGAAAAAAGTCATATTTATTAATTTGAAATTTCGGTTTTTACAACAATCCATGCAGCTACATTAGGTAGCAAGTACCATGTTTTTCTAGTCACTAATATGGATATAGAGGGTGGGATGCCCTTAAATTGTGGTTGGCTTCATCTTCTGAAAAGTAAAAGTTTGGCTAATACCAACCGCAGAAAACTCCACACGCATAAGAATTTAACTGCAAAAGAAGCAACCAGTCCGGCTCAATCCTGATGCACAGGAATACATACACTTTTACTGCAACATGCCCAAGTTAAAAAAAAAAAAAAAATCCACCTGGTGTCTTCAGTAAGATTTGGATCCAGCTATCTTAAAAGAAAAAGGCTTTGGAAAGACATGCTGTCTACCCTTTAAATTGGTTGCTTATCTATGGATTGTTACGCCATACTTACTTTCTTCGATTACCAAGTTGAGAGAAATGATCTATTTGTCAGGGTAATGACCAGATTGTCACTTATGCCAATCTACCAGTGGAAAATAATGATGAGTTATTTGTAAGACCCCGGATAAATGTGTTGGACAAAAACTTGGGACCTCAAATTGATACCTAGCATTAGAAAAATAACCTTTTAATGTTTTTTTCATAAGGCAAAGCAAGTTAAGATTATATGAATAAAGTCTGGAATGGGTGACTATTCACCAGTTAGTAAAATCCTGCTTACTTGAATCTGTTGAAATTTGGACATCTTTTGCTGATCCCTGTGTTGACCCATCAACATCATCATCTTCATCTGTGAAAACAGAAACATTTTAAGAAAGGATTCTTGTTAATTTGAACTGGGGGAGGGAGGGAGGGGAAGTGTTTGTCATTTAAGCCTGGTTTCCATCAAAGAAGCTAACATAAAAGAATCCAGCCAGAAAAGCACACTTTCTTCTTCTGCCTATTTTCCGATAATAATCCATACTGTAAAAACAGCATTAAAAAACCCAAACCTGTATTGTCATGTAACTACAGTGAAGGCATACCTGAAGTCCTTCTACTATTAGCTTTAACATTGCCACTACTGCATTTCATCCCTTTCTCAAGCTGCCATGTTTGCCTATAACCTAAGTATATATGGTTTCCATTAAGTTTTAAATCACCAAATCAGTCCAGGAATTGCAGTAACAGCTTTCCAGTCAGAAGTATGGGTATTATATAAATAATTTCCATAACTGAAAAATAGATTCGCTGACACCCAAAGAGAAAGAAATTACTGCACTCCAGAAGAGGACTTTGACAGTTCATCGCTCTCACTAAAAGCTAGGAGCTAACATGTCAGATAATAACACAGCCTGTAAAATCACACATAAAATACTTAAGATTAAAATAAAAGCTAACATCTACATTTGCTTCTGTGAAGATAACATCCTGACTGCATTCTCATTCCTGACACTCAGGTCCATACAGGAAGACTGGTGCAAATCCAAACGTGATACATTTTTCTTCTCTAAGGGTAGCAGTAGCGTGCAACATAAGCCAACCCAGTGTGCTAATTGTATAACGGTATTCATACTCCCACCCACTGAAACTCCCAGTCAGTCTTGATTGGGATGCAGACAAAGCTCCCAAGAGATATAAGCCAGGCAACACCTTTGTAAAAACTATGCCTTGCAGTTGAGGGACAAAGCAGGAAATCAAAGCACAAAACAAGAGAGAAAAAAAAAAATAAATAAAATCAGTAAAGACAAATCTTCAGAGCAAAAGAGGTACTAGGGAAGTCAGAATCCTAACACAGGAAAACCTTCCAAGAAGAAGCATCACAGCATGTCAAGAAGGGTACTTAGCAGGAGTCCTAAACTGGAGACCAGGTAACTTACTGAATATTTGGGTAATGCTTCAACTGACTACAAGAAAGACCAATAATAATGTTTCTGAGTTGGGGTTTTTAAGACATAAAAGAGTTGAAATACTTTCCCTGTTATAGTTGACAGACAAACAGATTAACTTTCAAATCAGAGAGAAATTTATACAATATGGTCTTGAAACACCCTGAAATAAACGGAAGCTGAATGACTTATTGAATTTACTTCAGACAAAATAAATTTTAAAAAAGAATAAGTAAATACAACAATAAAATGAAAGAATTCCTGATTGCTCCCAACACTCCTCTTTTGCTAAGTTTAGATGGGAAGAAGTTGACATCTTTCTTTTATTACTTTCTCCCTCAGTGTGGACAGTAGGGAAATCTACACTAACAGCATCCTGAAAGTATTCCAATGAAGTTCAATGACTTCTTTTGAGATACACTAAGACAGGAGTCAGTTGGTGGAAGGGGAGATACTGCTCTACCATTGCTTCCCCTAGTAGTCCAAGAGCTTTGAAAAGCCACTTTAAGCATAGAGATGTTCACTGTATGTTGGCCATGAAGCTTAGCATTTACTCAGTGGCAAAAGCTAATCTGGACAAATGCTCCCCAGTAGGTCAACAACGATGTGTTCATTCTCTGTCTAGGACAAGTCATCTGGCACTCCCCAACCATCAGCTTGGGAAGAGCTGTGCCTGCAGTAGTTAACTCATCCAGGCAACTGCCAACACTTCTTCAGTACCGCCAACCGGTCTTTTCACAATCTTCTGAGCAATGCCCTTCTTCAGCTGTGGCAACAGAAGAGCACCCTCTGTGCATGCCATGGTGTGAGGACTTCTGAACAAGTGTGCTTGCACGACGCATCCCACAGAAGTGAGGACAGAAGTGCTAATTATCCTCCAACAAAGCTGAAATGCTCCTTGCTCTCTGGAAACATCCCTAACATGCATGCAATCTTTAACAAGATCTGCCATCTGGAGCCTCTGCCTCTACCTGGAAAAGTGGCAGCAACTCCCAGGGCAGCTGTCCCGAGCTGCTCTGTGGTCAGAGGAGCTTCAAACACATCCTCAAGAGTGTCAGGGAGCTGCTGGACCCGTGACACATCTTGGTAACTTTCGGCACGTGCCAGGAGCTAGTGGGTTTTTGAAAGAAAATGCAGGTCTGTTCTGTGAACATGGGTAACAAGAGGGACGGCCTGGCCAGCGCACTGAGCTCCTGCAATGCAGGATAATGTGAGAATTAGTTTAAGGCAATTCCCAGCCCTGCCTTTAAGGAAGAATCTGGGCAGAGGAAAAGACCTGCATAGCAATGGTATTCGGTGCCTTTGGCAGGAACCTGCAGACAGCTGATCTCCAGCAGACGACTGAGAGCAGCAAAACTCCAGCAATAGGTCTTAAAGCGAGCCTCAGTAGATGTGAATGGTGTAACAAGGAGCCACACGTGGAGGCACTGGACTTGTACCTGAACATCAGGGACCTAGGTGCTAAAACAAGTGTCACATACCATCATCGGCTAAGGAAAAACAGAACAAAAAGCGTTATGCACAGCAGACTACAAGGCAGGTATTGCACCACAAGTATTATACTCCATGCCTTGTCCTGAGCCACAACCATGGCCCATTGACCATAAAAAAAGGAAGAAGTCAGGTGGTGGGGGTAGCCATCAAGTTCAGAGGTACGCGTGGGACCAGCAGCAGGAGGAAAGGGGAGCGTCCCCACGGCTCGGCCCCTGCTCCCCTCAGTGCCAGCAGCCCCTCCACCCTGGCAGGCTGCTGCCCACCACGCAACAGGGAGCTGAGCCCAAGGAGCAGAAATTCTCATAGACCAACAGAAAAGAGATCTGGTGTTAGAAAAGAGATTTTTCAGGGTGTTGCTGTATTTTATCTGGGTATATGCAGGCTGAGCACTATAAAAACACATTCTGGCTTTCCAAATCTGGTGGGTTTCCTTTCATATCACATTAAAGCACTGGAAATGGTCCAAATTAAGTTACTGAGTATTTCACCTTCCCGATGCGTCTGTTTCTGACCACCAGCTAATGACTGATCTGCACTGCATTCTCTCAATTCAAAGTCCAAGACATACATTTTAATTAAAGGAATGCAAAAAACGTTATTACTTCAAAAAAAACTTGAATATGCATAACACAAACTCATACATTTAGCATGTAGCCTAAGTCCTGAAATGGAAAACCTTCTCCTTCCATCATGTAAAATAATGAGGGAAGAGAATAGAAGGTGCAGCTATAACCTTGGATTCTCTCACTTAAGGTGCTCCATGTTCAATTTTTACTTAGAACCGATTTAAAAATTAAAAAAGGAAAAAGTTTAAGTCTGACATATTAAAAGAACACACCACTGTTTAAAAGACAAACTTAGTTAACATCGAAAAAGTCACACCCAAAGAGGTTATTTAAAAGGTTTGTGATTAACTTCTGTTAATAATAATACAACCTCATTTTCATTTAAGCCTTTGGGATACTTGTAGAATACCTAACAATAGACCTAAATCAAGGTTCATAATGAGTCTTCCAGCAAAACCAAACTCATCCAGATTGTTCATCTCTGGTATTTCTTAAGTTGGAACCATTAAAAACTCGTTGACTTTCAAGTATGTGCTGTACTTCATCTTCCCCCACCAAAAAGCAAATTCATTAAAAAGAAAAATAACTCACTGAAAAAAACATGCCAACCAAAAAAAGCAACATAACACCTCCTCTCCCCCTTCATACTTCTATAGATCGCTTCAGTGTATCTAGGTTATGTAGACTTAGAGTCATGCAGTAGCGGGACTCATGCTATAGCTTCTGCACATGAGAACGCATGGCTCCTGCTAGCGACCCACTGCCTTCACGAAAACCAAACATGCATGTTCAAAGCAGAGAGTTCAAGAACAACTTGTCAGGTTGAGAAAAATGCAGTTGCAAATATTTAACTTCCATGACCTATATTTTGCCTACCTTTTATTTGCTTTCCTATTGTATTCAAGCACCAAAAGAAAGGCTTTACAAGAACGTAATAATCAAAATATAAGTTAGAAAATACTTCAGTGGCTTAAAAAAATTCTCTTGTTCCTAAAGAGCTGTTAAACAAACATACACTCTAGATGGCAGCAGAACATTACCCTGCTAAATACATGATTTCCTTTCAGCACAGAAATCTTAAAAGGGCAGATGCTTAATCAAAGAGGCAAATAAAAATATCAGTATACATGATATGCCAAATAAAAACCAATATGTATATCAGCAAGTGTTTGTAGTAATGATAACACTAATCTGCTAAGCAAATTTTTGGATTTTAGGTTTTCACTTTCTGCATACTTACTATTTCAAGAACAGTTTTCAAATTGCCCTGCATCAGTAAACAGAAGTTTCAGCATTTTGCACACAGTCTGCATTTAAAAATCTCTATCCTGTCCCAGAAATAGCAAGTTGTTATAGTATTGCCACAAAAGCCAGTGAAAATTAGCAATCATATGCTTCAGTGAGTTACAACACTAGGTTAAAACATGCTCATCAATTAGTTGCATTCAACTTTGAAAGTTTTTACCTGATTCTGTTTGCAAATTTTCTGATATTCGAAAACAATGCAGTTTGCTGAAGTTGCGAGAAAATAATTGCACACAGCTTGGAGGAAGAATCATATTCCTTAATCTTCCAAAAGTACATTCTGGTGTGACAATTATGTAGCAAGCAGCATGAGCCTATAAATAGAAGCATCAATGAAGAGCTTAGTGAGACACAAAGAAAACAAATTTGTTCATAACAAAATATGCACTGGAATTGCAAAACTCAAGCTAGGACATATACAGACCTTTTGTAAAATCACTTTCATGAAATGAGTGACCCATTTTTCACCCTAGATTTTCATTTGTTCCATTCAGTTTTTATATAACCAATAATGGGAAGTCTTAACATGTGAAGAAACTCCAAGTAATACAAACCTGCTCTATTAAAAACTAAAGGTTTTTATACAGCTATGTTAAGAAGTTTAAAGTTTTGGTCTCAAATCCTGGATCTTCCATTCTACATGGATATTTACTAGGGGAGCTGGGAAAGGTAGGCAGGTTATACTGAATAGCTTGAAAATAGCAATATCCTCTTACACAGGTGTACCCACTTGCAGATCCAGAGATAACACTGTTTGGACATTTATTCCAAAACATGACTGGCTAGGTTCTGCCTTTATACTGTGAAAGGCCACCTGCCATTGTTGAATACACATACCTTTGTACGTGTGGCCATATAGCATGTTACATTTGTTAAGTTGTTCCCAAAGACAGCCCCTCCCACCTCAGAAATTATGAGTCTGATTAAAAAATACAAACCCCATAACATTTAAAAAATATTTTAAATTATTCAAATCATACCTGAAATACTGAATACCCTCAGAATTTAATTTTAAATTATTATTATATAGAGTCCCTAATCTTGCATTAAGTGGCAAATTTATGATTTATTACATATATCTTTCACTTCCCACCCCATCTGGTGCTACTTAGCACTTTCATTGTATTTCAATAAGAGGTAGCATTAAGTGGATGGACCAATTGCTACGTACACAGCAGACTGTGTATCGGTACGTGAAAAGCTGTGGCTTTCATGAGGATTATTGAAGGGTACCATCATGTTGCACAGGAATTAAACATGCATCATGTGAATGGAAAAACAGAGAAACCAATATTGACATCTTTAAAAAAATCCAGCCACACAGGTTAAGAACTATTCTATACTGAAAGAGGAAAAAGCATATTAGAATGGTAAGACTCTGACCTTGCAGAACTCATGTGATTTGACAGAAATTCTGATTTCAAACAGCAAAAGTAACTGCAGGCTTCTAAGCAGAAATCTATACTGATTAGTCCCTGTTAAATTTTAATTCCATTGGATTTTCATAAAGTTTAACTGTGATTTTGAGAATTGCTCGTTCTAATGACTAATTGGGGGGGAATTTAAAAAATCAGGTTTTCCATCTAACTCTTAAAGATATATATAAATTTATATAAATAAGTGTATAAACAAAGTGTATTTATAAAGTATATATATATTTATACAGGGTACAAATAAAGTATATTTATATAAAATGTTTAAATAAGCATGTGCATGTATATATATAGTTCTCACAAATATACACAACAGCACAACATACCAGGATGCCACACCATTCACATCTCATGCCAGAGAGCACCTCAGAAGAGCCACAGGTTTTTTTGCAAACTTCGCAACGAGCACTTGAAGAAAGGTTTCCCTCCCTCCAGTGGTGGTGATAAGTATCCTGGGGGAACACATCATGACTTAGTGTCACATGAAACGGATAGAGAAGCATCTTCAATCTAACTTTAAAATCAGCAATTCAAACAGCTCTGAGGAAACAGCAACACAGACTAGGACATTAAGTATTTTGTCACTATAAATATGAACCTGAACAATCTTACATTTCACCAAAAGAAATTTATCAAACTATCAAAAAATTTATCACATAGTCCTTTTTCTTCAGTCCACCAAAACCAATATTCTTTAAAAAAAAAAAAAAAACCTGAAAGGTCAGTATTATGTATGTATTTTACAGTGAGAAGATGGCAGTCTTGCCTCAGACAGACTGCAGAAAGCCCGAGAAACATAATAATGTTTGCCAGGGATGCAATGCAGCCAACAGCTCAACATATAGAAAAAACAGGGTTCCATGCCAGCTTCTGCAATGCATATTTTTAGATAGGATGCTTGATTTTTTTTTTTCTCAATTAGGACGTTGTATATATTGCACAGATTTTTCAGCATAGCTTCAATAAGCATCAGGAATATGTCAGAATTTAAGTTTATCTCGCTATCTGCAATACATTCTGAAGCCCCATCTTTCCTTTGCCTGCCAATAAGCAACAAAAGTGCTTTGATAATTGGCAGTATGTGAAAGAAAAGGCCAAGACTCCTCCCCCTCCTCTAGCCCATGTTTTCACACTGTGTGACCACTTTCTGCTACAGAGGCATCCGCACTTACGTGGTCCTGGTGCCCATCCTGGTGACACTGCCGGCAGTCACTGCAAGCAAACAGGATACAGTCTGTGTGCACATGTAGCTCACAAACTAAAAGCATGAAAACAAGAAAACTTCTTTAAGCTGGAAACACCGGGGTTTTTGCAGCTCCTCCCTCCCTCTCTCCCTCCATTCCCCCTCCACCACTACCTTTTCGCACTATACTTTCATAGAATCATAGAATAGTTTGGGTTGGAAGGCACCTCTGAAGGTCATCTAGTCCAACCACCCCTGCAATGAGCAGGGACATCTTCAACTAGATCAGGTTGCTCACAGCCCCGCCCAATCTGACCTTGAATGTTTCCAGGGACGGGGCATCTACCACCTCTCTGGGCGACATGTTCCAGTGTCTCACCACCCTCAGCGTAAAAAATTTCTTCCTGATATCTAGTCTAAATCTACCCCCCTTTAGTTTAAAGCCATTCCCCCTTGTCCTGTCGCAACAGGCCCTGCTAAAAAGTTTGCCCCCATCTTTTTTATAAGCCCTCTTTAAGTACTGATAGGCTGCAAGAAGGTCTCCCCAAAGCCTTCTCTTCTCCAGGCTGAGCAACCCCAACTCTCTCAGCCTTTCTTCACAGGAGAGACAGGAGAGGTGTTCCATCCCCCTGATGATTTTTGTGGCCCTCCTCTGGACCCACCCCAACAGGTCCGTGTCTTTCTTATGCTGAGGGCTCCAGAGCTGGACGCAGTACTCCAGGTGGGGTCTCACCAGAGCGGAGTAGAGGGGCAGAATCCCCTCCCTCGACCTGCTGGCCACGCTGCTTTGGATGCAGCCCAGAATACGATTGGCCTTCTGGGCTGCGAGCGCACATTGCTGGCTCATGTCCAGCTTTTCATCCACCAGTACCCCCAAGTCCTTCTCGGCAGGGCTGCTCTCAATCCCTTCATCCCCCAAGCCTGTATTGATACTGGGGTACGTACTTTCTTTCACACTCTTTTCTGTTCACCAAATATAGGCAATAAAAGAAGTTTATCAGCATTGTCCTGTGTGTTGCTCCATTTCCTTTGTGTTAAACTGATGCAGCAAGTATAAGGAAAGGCTGAGCTAATTTTGCTCATAAGCACTTGCCATATTTCCTCCAATGCAGCAAGTTAAATTTGTAACAACTGTTGGGCTTATTTCAGCTTTAGTCTCACAGTTTCACAGGAACCGCTGCCTACTGCAATATAATCGTGCCTGAAGTCTACTTTGATTTAATTAAATCGAAAAAAAGCTGAATGTTAGAAGCTATTAACAGAGAAAGTTCTCCTCCTGCATCCAAATACCACCAAGTCTTGAGTGTAAAGTAATGGTCTTCCTGAAGCAATACTCCATTCCCTTTACAAAACCCCTCCCAAATCCTGCTGCAGAGCAAGTGGGCACTTCACAAGTGAGTTCAAAACAGCGACACTTTTCTCCTGGACAGCCCCTCTTTTGATCCCTGTAGCTGCCAGAAGCAAAAGGAAACAAGAGACAAGGTGTGTTCGAGTCCCCAGCCCCAGCAAAGCAGGGGACACTTGCCACCAAAGCAGCCGCAAGCCAGTAGCGCACCCCTCCTGCTCACAGCCAGGAGCCCTGTCTCGCTCACGGTCCCATGGGAGACACATCAGAGGTCGGACCAGCCATCAACCCACGCGGCACGCCTGCACCGGCATGGACTCACTTGTGTTTGCAAAGTGATACGACACATGCTGACGTCAGAACATGCAAAGTGACTGGAGGCCATCATTCTCAGGGAGCTGGCAAGAGCCAGAAAGCATGTTTTACTCAGGAAATAAATCCTTTTTATTGCCAGATGACACTCAACGGATTTAATTTTAAACCTGACTAGAATAAACTGGTATGTTAATCTCAGAGAAGATTTGTCCAAGCTACATCTGCATACAGTACATCACCATTTCATTGTCAGGAAAAGGAAAATAATCGCAGCAGACCATGCTCTACCACCACACCAAAGCAAAGCCTCTTTTAACGGGCCTTACTAAGTCAACCACAAGCGTTCACATACAGCTCCCCATACTGCATGCCTCCACTGAGCTCAAGAACTTTTATATGAGGTGTGACATGGTCCCTCCTCCACACACATTTCTCCATATTCATAGATATAACAGGAATATTTTACAGTTTTGCCAATTCAGCTACCAGGCAAGCTAGATCCTTTGAGTCATACCCTCACTAAGGGTAAAAGTTTCTGTAGACCAAATCAAGGCTTCAAGGAATTAACAAAAGCGTTGGGATTTTAATCATTAATTCTGCTAACACAGGCACACACTGCCCTTTGCTATACTTCGTAAGAACACAGAGGGGTTTTTTCCCCTTGGTTTAATTCACATGTGCTGCTTCTAACACCAAACTCAACTCAGAATTTATAATAAAATGTGTGCATGTGAAGGGCAGCAGTGTCACAGGAGTTAAACCCTTAAGATAGCTATCTCGCTGATAGGAAAGATGAAGTTTTTAGTATGTAAACATCAAGTCAAATCAGAGGGCCTACAAAAAGAAGTGTCACCTTTATCAGCCCTTCCATAATCTACACAATTCTTTAACTCGTAACAGAATGATGGGTTTCTGTTCAAGCTAGTTATGAAAGTGCTGTGGATTCCTTTATAATTGCCAAAAAAACAAGTTGGTTAATTTCAGATACATATACTTGGCAGAATAACCTTTAAAATGTCAACTGCCTCCCTCCCCAGTAAATTTGCTGCTCCCAGTTGATGCTTAATAAGAAACTTCTGTAAAGGATCCAACACTAAAAAGAAAATGTTTGAGTTACTCCCTTTCCCTTTTTTTCGTTCCAGCCCTTCTTCTTGGAAAGAAAAGGGAGACCAACTCCCACCATCATGAGTCCAGGTTCAACTGTCACCAGTGAATTCTACAGCAAAAATAGCTATCCAAAGCAATTAGTAATTTTCAGCAGAATCTGGAGTCCAAATACTGTAATTTTTGCCAATGAAGTGTATGTACGTATCTCACCAGGGTTAATATACATGCATGCTTATTTCTGAGAACGTATGTCCCACCACGCACCCACAGTGTTTAGTACTTGTCTGAAAATTTTCAATTTCCTTTCAAGGAAATTTATTTTATTGTCAGATATGAAGAGTTCAAAACAAGTTATTTAAATTATTTTAGAAGTACATCTAATAATGTCAATCATTTGCTTAGAAAAGGTAACTTCATCTTAACCCTCTTTTCTATCTTAATTATGGCAAAGATTCCAGGAAAAGTTCTTTAAATTTCAATATCAGAAGAGAACATCATAACCGACACTAGACTTGTACTATTAAGCTAAGTCATTAGAAGTAAGCAGAAAAAGGAAGAAAGTTCAACATCTCCATTTGGATTTAAAAGCTCTACAACTTAAAACAGCTGACTTCTAAAACAAATTCTGGAAGTATTTTTGAAGAGTAAAGGAAGAATCTTGTGCATTTTATGAACCTGAACTGCCCCTTTTTAAGCTACGTTTTGGAAAAGTATCAGAGAAACAAGTCATAGACTTATTTGTATTAAGAAAACGGGATAGCAAACAAGTCACACCACACAAAACAAGAAAACTGTTTAATCCATGTGAGGAACACAATTCAGAACCTTCACTGAACCAGAAAAAAAAAGTGTCCAGGCATGTGTAATACCTACATATAACATACAATTTCATGTGTTTCTTGTTTAAGAATATTTAAATGGAAATGTCTGAAAAAATAGGTATTCCCTTCCAATGGGTACAACGCTAATACAATAGAATTAAGAGAGTAAGAATATGAAAGCAAAATTTAGAAAGCTTTAACTAAAATAGATCACTAACCTAAAGCTGTTTTCAAGAGTTAAGAAGACATAGCTGGTGAAAATTTTCTTTTCAAATTCTCTATGTTTACCTCATGCCACACAAGTTCTGAGACTTATTAATACAGATCATCAGAAATCACTCTGTGGTATCTGTAGCTCTTTGACCATCCCACCAAATCATCCAATTCACATGGTAACTATGTTAAGTGACAGATTCCCACTAGTCAGAAGAACATAGTTTAGATTCGTTATGCAACTCACCAGACAACAGCAGAAAAAAACATTGCACCATTGTAAGTCTAAATGCCCTGATCAAAGAGAAATGTTTCCCCCCCACACACATAGGCGACCATATTAAATAAGACTTTATCTTTAGCATAACAGCAATTTTGAAAGCATCTCAAATCCCTACAGAATTGGTTCTTCTCTCAGTAGACTTTTTTTTTTTAAACAGTTCACCATTAATATTCCTTTAAAATAGTAAATTCTATTCAACCTCACATCAGCTGAACAACAGCTACTAGATAGATATTCAAGACAGGGGAGACAATGGGGAATTAAGGAGTTGCCTCATGTCAAAATCAGTCAGGCAAGTACTCATGCCAACATGTATTTCAAATAAAAATTCTGGTGTTTGGGTGATTTCTTTACTGTTTTTTCAGAGAATCCATGTCAGAGCACTCAAGAGCAGTACTATTTTGACAAATAATATTTTCAAGTATCTTTCCATTGAAGGCACCTCATCCCCATTACAACCAACAGGTATCTGAGACCAGTAACACAGAAAAGTTATATTCCATTCTTTTGCAGAAAGGGGAGGTTTTAGAAACATGAATACCTGATGATTCCCTGTATCAAAAGCTTCTATTGGAAACAGAAATAAATTACCTCAACAGGAGAAATCTTTCTTTTGCTATAATAGCCTCTCATTCTTTGCACATCCCGGGCATGGATTCATTGCACACCATCAACATCACAAACTTGCTCAAAGTAAAGCGGAGGAAAGATGAAAGAGCATATACGTTTGACAAAGTTTGTGGTTTATTGAGGGTTATTGATTTATTATTCCTTAATTTGAAGTACACATTTACACAATCAATGAGTGGATGATAACGGAAAAATCTCTCAAACACAGTAAGCGCCTGCGCGTGTGTGTGTTTGTGTACACATACCCTCAAGGTATGCAATGTAAGCAAAGTGTACGTTACTGGATAACACACAGATGGCTATACAAGTAGGGTTTTTTAAGTTACCTTCACATCGAAAGGCAGGTGACTCCAGTGACTTTCTGCACACAGTGCAAAACTTTCTTTTGTAATGTCCTGGAGGCCCAAAACAGTGTGCAACTGGAACCTGCCAATGAAAAATGCGTTAAGACATCATCAGCCACAACTTTCAAGGTGCCAGTTACAATTCACAGAAACTGCTTTATCATGCAAGACAGGACAGTATATACAATATAAACTTAACTAAGCCTGAGAACAAATATACAGGCAAATCATCCTTTTTAAAAAAATGTCATACTTAAAAATATATTTGAAATACTTTAAATAATTTTTTTTTTTAAAATATTTTTTAAATTCTTGGGTTTTAACATGTAACGTATATATTTTTAAGTGCCAGTCAGCTTCTTGATGATTCACAGTCCCATGAATCCAAAGGTTTCCTTTGGGTTCAGAGCCATGCAACTTACCTGGAATCACAGTTCCTCTCCTAAGTATTCTTAATTGAATCAAGGACGATTAAAGAGTAATAGTTGCAGGTGCACACAAAATACCCTAAAGACACACTCAAGACAATTTTTAAAAGCTCGGTGCTGCCACAGTCCAGTACCCTCCACGTGGCTTTCACCTATTCTCCGAATACAGGCCAGCCATCTGGCTGATCAGGACAGCGGCATTGGTCTCCCCCCACCCAAAGGTTCAAAGCCTGGATGGTACAGAGATCCAGCTCTTGAAGTACAACCATACTGAGGTTCTTGCTGACAGTAGGTGGAAGATGATACATTTCAATATCCTTTTGTCAAGAGCTGTACCAACAGTTTTAGCAAATGTATTTCTAGTATACTACTCACTTATCCTAAAAAGGTAGGTTTTTTCTTGTTTAGTGATTCATAATGAAGACTGGAAGTGACGGTACCAAAAGAACAACAGAAGAAAAGATGAAAAATTAAGAATAAGAAACATATTTGAGCTTTATACTTGTTCTAGAGACCACTCTTCCTACATGATGCACAACTTTGTTAAACTGACATTCACATCAGAAGAAGCATAATTGCATCTTTAAAATTCTAGAATCCAAATTACTTCCATAAAAGTTTGCCATGACTTAGGTATTTAGTATTATGCATCTCGCATGCCCTTCCTGATATGACAAACATATCAGACTTATCTTCTGGTTCTTGCATCACAAAAAAAAAATATTTCTAGTAAAGGCTGACAAATAGTTATTTAGGTGTGAAATGAAATTAATTATTTCCAGTAAAAAGTTGGAAATAATGACTTAAGTACACGTAGTCACAGATAGCTTCTTTTCCTCCCAGATGTACTAGTAAACAATCCTCCAAAGTTATTGAGCAGGATTTGAATTTTTCTCCCTGTATATTAGGGTTTTCCTGGGAACCACTAGCAGCAAATCTGACACATACTGGGAACACAGAATTTGATGACCCAGAAAGTTGCTTCCAGTTGTAAAGGTCTAATTCCCACCAGCATTTCTGCCTCTGAAAGCATGGGGACAGCTACACTGAACAATCCCGTACTTCCAGCATGCACAATGAAATAAGTGAGATAAAGTTTTGCCAGGCGTAACACAAGGAGAAAGGAACATTGCTGGAAGTTTAATCAAGAAAAATCACTAACCCCCAAACTGCAAAGCATGTGGTTCCTCCAGTCTTCCTCAGAATTAATCTTTGGGAGGTAAAGGAGGATGAAGAGAGGTACGAAATATGCCTGTGTTATCAGACATGAACAAGATCATGCACCGCAGTTGACTGGTCAAGCAGAGTCACCAGCTCATTACCCCAGATGACTGTGTTGTCTGGAGGACTCCTTGGTCCCTGACTGACCAGGAAAATGCCTGTCCAGATCCCAGGCTCCCCACCACGCTGAGCTGCCAGCGAATCTACCAAAAGGATTTCATATCAGTATCTCCAACATGATATAGTACAAAACATCCTTGCCTCCAAAAGCTTAAAATTTTTCCTTTACAAACGAGTTCAGGATTTAAAAACACAGACAAACCATGCTTTGGAGTCCATGTTCTACTCCCATCAACCCAAACAGAAATGTCATTCTCTGCAGCCCTCCAGCTCTAATTGACACAAAGTTCATGGTTGGCTTGCATTATTTTATTTTATTTTTTAAATCAGAATACTCTAGTCATATAATGCATGTTTATAAAAAGAATATATATCCTTGGAGAAAAAAAAAATCCTGGAGCGCCTGGGGAACTTCAATGAAACTGTCTTGGATTAAGTTCAAGGCTCATAATCCCTGCCCACTTTTCTTGCACTTTCATGCTACTTCTTCAGGGGAAAGGAAAAACCAAACCTCCCTGTACAGTAACAGACAAGTTACCTGGCTCAGCTATTCTGGAGGTAAAGTGCCAGAACTGTTTTCTCGCTCTAGCTGCTCCAAAAATAAAAGAAAAATCCAATCGCAGCTTGGTGGGAGGAAGGTCACTTGCCGAAAATTCATCCTACACAATGAGTTCAAGTGCAGAAAGAGATAACGAGAATGGCTACATGAGCACAATCCCAGCCAGACACAGCAACTGTGAGGAATACTGAAAAGCCCTGGTGGGATTTTTTCAGGAAAGCTTTTCTGCACATCCCAACCTGTCTTCAGATTTCAAGTGTCACCTTCAAGTCACCTGCCTGCCCTACTCCCACCACAGCCCCAGACACAACAGAGGCAGCTGCCGCCAAGGCAGCAGTATCCCCCTTGAGATCAGATGCAGAGGAGACCTTCTTTAGCTCTGGAGTGGTAATAACCTGCTCTGGACACCCAACATGAGCATCCGATCCCCTCAACAACCCGTGTTTGAAACACAGAACTTTTCTTTCCCTGGCCATGAGTCTGGCTATTTTATCTTACACCTGGCATAGAAATGCAGGCTTTTCATTATTGTCACAGAAAGATTCTGCTGAAGAAAAAGGATACTCCATAGATCAAAGGATCAAAGTAGAGTTTTGTGAAAAACAGTGTTTATTTTGGGAAAGACTGTGAGAAAGGACTTTGACAGGAGTCAAACTTGCTCAGGGTCTGACTGTACTGATCTAGAAGACTCAAGGGAAGGAGACCAAATTTAAATTCTGCAGTTGTTCAGACTCTGGTGACAATCCTCTGAAGTCTCAAGTCACTGCCAAAAAGAAGGGAGCAACTTGCTGACTGAAATGTTGGGTGGGATTAAAAGGGGGGGGGGGGGAGAAAAAAATCTGTTCCTTCAACTTCTTCCTTTCTGAAACAAGCCAAAAGAAACTCTGTTTATTATGACTGGTCTTTCTAACTTGCTTTAGAAGTGACAGGTATGAAACCAGTGCAGAGCCTGGTGGGAAATGGGATGGGAATAAGATGGAAAAAGAGAAAAGTTAGAAGAGCAAGTACAACATAACAAACTCATCAATCACATCATGTTTCTCCCAGCAGCTCCCTACATTTCTTTTGTTGCTGAGCAAGTTTTAAGCACCCAATACATAACAAAAAAATAAAAAATCAGACTGGGAGAGCCAGTGAGGCAGCATGACAGAATATGAAATGTTACGTATTATTCTTTAATTTATATCCACCTGTGTCTTTAATTTATATCCACCTATGTAAGTACAGAAAAGTACAGACACATAAGGTGGCCTACAGAGAGAAAGTTAATAATTGATGAGTTTAAAACCGCTTTTCCGATACAACTACTTAAACTACCTTATGCAAACCACTAAAATCAATTTCCGCAGAAAAAAACAGAAAATTTCTGCTAGTAATACCATTAGACGACATCTAATTGCCCTTACGGTATTGATCAGAAGCCCATCAACAGAAAGTGTAGTGGTAACACTCCAACATAAGCTCCAGAATGACTTTGCACTCATGGACAAGATACTCCTAGTGCCTATTTTGTTTCCTGCCATCTGTTAAGAAATCCAAAGCATTACAGAATGTAACACATTTCTGTAAAAGTTCATATCAGCCTGTAATAAAATTTGATCCTACAAAAGCCTAAAACTTAGATTCTAACCCCTTCAGTGCAATCTGTGCAAGTGCACAGCAGTTCTGCATCATACAGAAAGAACAGCAACAAAGTGCTCTTAACATACAAACTTCGGAAGAAAAAGAAAGGATAGAACTGTTTTCTTTCAGTAGTGCCTTTTAAAATTGTTCCTCATCCTGAAATGCCACAGGGTATCAAGCATGTGGCCAACAGCAGATCATGAATTTAAGTGCACTTCCACTGAGGTGGACTCACTACATACAGAGCAGCCCAGTGTCCTGGTTTCGGCAGGGACAGAGTTAATTTCCTTCCTAGTAGCTGGTACAGTGCTGTGGTTTGGATTTAGGAGGAGAACAAAGTTGGTGATAATGCACCAATGTTTTAGTTGTTGCTAGGTAATGCTTACACTAGCCAAGGACTTTCTAGTTTCCCGTGCTCTACTGACTGAGAAGGCTGCAGGTGCACAAGAAGCTGGGAGGGGGCACAGCCAAACTGGCCACAGGGACATTCCATACCATGTGACGTCATGCTCAGTACATAAACTGGGGAAAGCTGGCCGGGGGGGCCGCTGCTCGGGGACTGGCTGGGCATCGGTCGGCGGGTGGTGAGCAATTGTACTGTGCATCACTTGCTTTGTGTATTATTATCATTTTATTCAATTATTAAACTGTTTTAATCTCAACCCATGAGTTTTCTCACTTTTACTCTTCCAATTCTCTCCCCCATCCCACCGGGGGGGGGTGAGCAAGCGGCTGCGTGGTGCTCAGTTGCTGACTGAGGTTAAACCACGACACCCAGCTACCACCCAAACCCCCTGGTTCAGGGATAGACTCAGGCCAGGTCAAGTCTTACTGGTCTGCAACCTTCTGGGATACCTCAGCAGGGAAAAATACAGCTCCAGGAAGGCCTATTCTTCACCCAGCTACAGCTGCTTTTCTACCAACTCAGGCAGAAGAAAGTTTTTAGCCTGAATCCTGAGCCAACAACTTCCAGGCTCAAAGGGGAACAAGAGAAATACAGATATACCAAATGCCAGAGTGACAGCTGCTGTCTTAGGCAGTCTTAAAAAAGAACAACCTACTAAAAACTTTTCCTAGGCCTGTGTCTAAATATTGTTTTGCCCACACATCTCCTTCCCCATCACAACAGAG